ATTTGTCTAAAATGGGCCATAACATTGTCATTGTAATAGTCACCAGCACGGCTTGCAATAGCTGTGTTAGGGTGATTTTTATCCATAAAGGTTTGCAGTTCAACCCACTTTGCACACATTTCCTTAATCTTTGAATAGGCACAATGGATTCCACAACTGGCATAGGCATCTCAGGGTTAGCCCCAAACCATTCAAAATCTTTCTTAATTTCCATACTAATTCTCACCCTTTTTATCACAGGATTGGCACTAGAAGCTTTCTTGGGGCCCATAGTGAGTTATTTTGCAGGTGCAATCACTAAAAACGCTGTGATAATATGAAATGTTCCGATTGTATGTTTGGATGCGACCGCGGTGGCTGGCTTGTAAACACTGGCACCCACGGGACAAGTGAGGCGTGCTCAGACCACACGTGGACGCGTCTCGAACTGAAGGAATCGCGTTGGTCGAGTTTTTTAGCGCTAGTCAAGGCAAAATTTTTGCGTTAAAATGTATCGCTAGTCGGATTTAACATTATACGATGCCATTGTTGGTCGAGGGTCCACTGTAATAGTATAATTATACAATATTTTATAGTGCCATGAGGCACACCGCTCTGTGTGTCATACTGACTCATCAGTTACTAAGAGACACTGCTCGGGCTTTCTCCCTCTCTGCTATAGCTCCATCCACTTTGTAACGATGCCAGATGGTGAATTAAATATGTATACAGGTACCATCCAACTTACGACAGAGTTTGGTTCCGAGAAACCGGTCGTAAGTCGAAATGGACGTAAGTCAAACCTTACTACTGAATATCAACATCACATTTTTGTAATGACTTTATTTTATTGTTTTATTTTGGTATTTCAGTTTTTACTTTACTTTTTATGCTGTTAGTACTGTATTTTATATTGTAAGGTTTAGGATGAACACTGTGTACAACACAAACACTTGTTTATTTCCCAGAAATTTGGCATAGAAAACAAGGTCGTAAGTCGAATGGTCGTATATCGAGCAGGTCGTAAGTTGGATGGTAGATGTATTAGAAACAAAAACAGAAAAAAATAAAAAGAAAATGCCAACTTTATAACTTTATTTCAATTTGCCTAATTCTTACATATTAAAGAAAACAAAAAGAAAAATCATACAATACACTCATTACTTACCTAAAAATATTTGTAGTCCTAATGTAGGGTGAGAGGTGAGTAGCATTTATTGTAGCAATACAATGCGTATACAGTACACTCATTAACGTAGGGCAAGAGATGAGTATTTATTGTAGAAAGAGGAAGAAGAACAAAGAATGGAAGAAGTACAAAAAGAAGTTCACTGTAAAGGGGTTAGCTGATATGTTCATTTGTGTTTGACATTCTTGGTGTCTCTCATGACATCTTAAATGATTAAACTCAGTGAACAAGGTATGTCAAAGGTAATAATAATAATGATAATTAATAATAATAATAATAAATAATAAATGCCCCGGAGCACTTTATACGTCATACATATTTCGTATAGGTTTTTAGCTGACATTTGAAGTGCTCCAGAGCGATTGTTATTATTAATTATTATTATTACCATTGGCATACCTCATTCACTGAATTTAATCATTTCTTAAGCTGCCATTAGAGAGACAGAGAATGTAAACACACAGACAAACACACCAGCTAACCCCTTTACAGTAAACTTCTTTTGTACTAGTACGTATTTCCATTTTCCTCTTCCAAGTGCTGCTGCATTTCTAACTATTGTGCACCCCATACTACAAGATAGTTAGAAGTGCAGCAGCACTTGGAAGAGGAAAAACAAGAGGAAAATAGAAGAAGTACAAAAGAAGCTCACAGTAAAGGGGTTAGCTGGTGTGTTCATATGTACATTATCTGCATTTTTCATGGCATCTTTAGAAATGGTTAAACTCAGTGAATAAAGTATGATGATAATAATAATAAAATAATAATCATAATAATAATAATAATAATACAGTGGAACCTCAAATTTTGAACGTATCGCTTATCGAACTCTTCGAAAATCGACCGCTTTTCTCAAACCAACTTTGTACCTATTATCAAACTCACCCCTATTTTTGAACTGCCGGGTACTGGACCTGTCCGCCAGCCCGCTCTGTCCGCGTCTCCGCGCAGGCGCCATGAGCCAGTCTGGCTTTGTTGATGCTTGAGTGAACACTAACCTGTGCTCTCATTCAAACATTTTACAATTAATTCATTGTGTTTAGTGCTTGTGGGACTGTGAAATAAGCTACCATGGGCCCAAAGAAACTTGCTAGTGGTACCTCTGTGGTAAAGAAAGTGAAAAACACCTTAGATGTGAAGAAGGAAATACTAATACAGAGGTGCCAGAAACAGAGGACTGTGGACAGTTATTTTGTGAGACAGGGGTCCAGTGACTCAAGCTGGTCCTAGTGGCATTAAAAGACAGAGAAGGGAAGTAACCCCAAAGAGGGCTTTGATACCTAAAGTCCTTATGGAGGAGGATTCTCTTCCTAAACACTAACCCCAACTCCCTCTCTCCTCCTCCTATCTTCCAGATGCCATCACCAATCTTCAATAAAGGTAAGTAAAAATGTTATTTTATATGTTTATTTAAATTTATTAATACATAATTGTACACTATATTTGTTGTGTGTATATAAAACTATAATTAATCTCTATAAAATGTATTTTTTTGTGAATATTTTTGGGTTTCTGGAACGGATTAATTGTATTTCCATTATTTCTTGTGGGAAATATTGCTTCAATTTTCAAATTTCTCGAATTTAGAACTAGCTCCTGGAACGGATTAAGTTCGAAATTTGAGGTTCCACTGTAATAATTGCTCTGGAGCTCTTTAAATGTCGGCTACCAAACCTATATGAAATATGTATAACATATAAAGTGCTCTAGAGTGATTATTATTAATTATGATTATATATATACTTGTGGTTGGGGATTTCAATGCTAAAGTGGGTAAAAATTATGGAGGGAGTAGTAGGTAAATTTGGGGTGCCAGGGGTAAATGTAAATGGGGAGCCTTTAATTGAGCTATGTGTAGAAAGAGATTTGGTAATAAGTAATACATATTTTATGAAAAAGAGGATAAATAAATATACAAGGTATGATGTAGCACGTAATGAAAGTAGTTTGTTAGATTATATATTGGTGGATAAAAGGTTGATGGGTAGGCTCCAGGATGTACATGTTTATAGAGGGGCAACTGATATATCGGACCATTATTTAGTTTTAGCTACAGTTAGAGTAAGAGGTAGATGGGACAAGCGGAAGGTGGCAACAACAAGTAAGAGAGAGGTGAAAGTGTATAAACTAAGGGAGGAGGAAGTTCGGGTGAGATATAAGCTACTATTGGCAGAAAGGTGGGCTAGTGCAAAGATGAGTAGTGGGGGGGTTGAAGAGGGTTGGAATAGTTTTAAAAATGCAGTATTAGAATGTGGGGCAGAAGTTTGTGGTTATAGGAGGGTGAGGGCAGGAGGAAAGAGGAGTGATTGGTGGAATGATGAAGTAAAGGGTGTGATAAAAGAGAAAAAGTTAGCTTATGAAAGGTTTTTACAAAGCAGAAGTGTTATAAGAAGAGCAGAGTATATGGAGAGTAAATGAAAGGTGAAGAGAGTGGTGAGAGAGTGCAAAAGGAGAGCAGATGATAGAGTGGGAGAGGCACTGTCAAGAAATTTTAATGAAAATAAGAAAAAATTTTGGAGTGAGTTAAACAAGTTAAGAAAGCCTAGGGAATGTATGGATTTGTCAGTTAAAAACAGAGTAGGGGAGTTAGTAGATGGGGAGAGGGAGGTATTAGGTAGATGGCAAGAATATTTTGAGGAACTTTTAAATGTTGAGGAAGAAAGGGAGGCGGTAATTTCATGCACTGGCCAGGGAGGTATACCATTTTTTAGGAGTGACGAAGAGCAGAATGTAAGTGTGGGGGAGGTACGTGAGGCATTACGTAGAATGAAAGGAGGTAAAGCAGCTGGAACTGATGGGATCATGACAGAAATGTTAAAAGCAGGGGGGATATAGTGTTGGAGTGGTTGGTACTTTTGTTTAATAAATGTATGAAAGAGGGGAAGGTACCTAGGGATTGGTGGAGAGCATGTATAGTCCCTTTATATAAAGGGAAGGGGGACAAAAGAGATTGTAAAAATTATAGAGGAATAAGTTTACTGAGTATACCAGGAAAAGTGTACGGTAGGGTTATAATTGAAAGAATTAGAGGTAAGACAGAATGTAGGATTGCGGATGAGCAAGGAGGTTTCAGAGTGGGTAGGGGATTTGTAGATCAAGTGTTTACATTGAAGCATATATGTGAGCAGTATTTAGATAAAGGTAGGGAAGTTTTTATTGCATTTATGGATTTAGAAAAGGCATATGATAGAGTGGATAGGGAGCAATGTGGCAGATGTTGCAAGTATATGGAATAGGTGGTAAGTTTTAAATGATGAGGAAAAAGGGGTAAGGTGTATTAGGGGGGTTGGATAGCAAGACTTGTCCTTGGTTAAAGGGGAATGTAGGAATGTTTGCACCGACGTCTGTTGGATGTGAGCGGGTATTTTAGTTCGAAGGGATTCAGGGGAACCGGTTATTTTCATATAGTCCAGTCTGAGCGGAAATGGTAAGTACAATCTGCACTTTAAAGAGAGGGGTTTGAGTTTGGAAGTTAGTTTGAGGGATAGTTTAACTTTACTATATGCTTCTGAAACTGGTATTGCTGAGCCCTGATAACATGTGAAATGGAGGAGAATGCTGAATGATATACAGTTTTTTTTGGGAGAGGTTGTCTTTTTCTGGGTCACCGCCTGGTGGGGACGGCGACTTTTGAAAATGAAAGGGATTATATTCACAGCATACCTTGTTTGGTTTAGATCATTCTTAAACAATGGTTTGAAAGAAATGAACACAGACGAGACACAGCAACCATTATGAAGGGATTCTTAACCAGTTCCGCCCAATGAGTCGCTGCAGGCAGTACATGCCTGCACTCTGAAGGAGGGGTTTAAATTGCAGTTTAAAAACTGTAGTGTAAAGCACCCTTCTGGCAAGACAGTGATGGAGTGAATGATGGTGAAAGTTTTTCTTTTTCGGGCCACCCTGCCTTGGTGGGAATCGGCCGGTGTGATAATAAAAAAAAATAAAAAAGGGGGTAAAGGAGGTTTTATGTGCGAGGGGCTTGGACTTCCAGCAAGCGTGCGTGAGCGTGTTAGATAGGAGTAAATGGAGGCGAATGGTACTTGGGACCTGACGATCTGTTGGAGTGTGAGCAGGGTAATATTTAGCGAAGGGATTCAGGGGAACCGGTTATTTTCATATAGTCGGACTTGAGTCCTGGAAATGGGAAGTACAATGTCTGCACTTTAAAGGAGGGGTTTGAGATATTGGCAGTTTGGAGGGATATGTTGTGTATCTTTATACGTATATGCTTCTAAACTGTTGTATTCTGAGCACCTCTGCAAAAACAGTGATAATGTGTGAGTGTGGTGAAAGTGCTGAATGATGATGAAAGTATTTTCTTTTTGGGGATTTTCTTTCTTTTTTGGGTCACCCTGCCTCGGTGGGAGACGGCCGACTTGTTGAAAAAAAAAATGATTATTATTACCATCGACATACCTTGTTCACTGAGTTTAATCATTTCTTAAACTGCCGAGAGACGCAGAGAATGTAAACACACAGACGAAGACACCAGCTAACCCCTTTACAGTGAACTTCTTTTGTACTTCAGTTTTCCTCCTCCAAGTGCTGCTGCACTTCTAACTCTATCTTGTACTATGGGGTGCACAATAAAGTACAAATTTGTACAAATATGTAGTCTTGGAGACTGTGCAAGCTAGTGTACTGAGTGGCTGTAGGAAGGAGATTGAGATGCTTGACGCTGAGATGCTGAGCTGCCCGTTTCTACGACCCAAGTTCTCATACGGCATACAATACCGACTCGTCGAAGAGCCCATCATAACTCCGAGTTGTAGGTAAACGTCTATGTCAGTAAGTGAGGAGAGGCTGTATAACCTCTGAATTAATTTTATCTGGCATATATCAATGTACAGTGGACCCCCGCATAACGATTACCTCCGAATGCGACCAATTATGTAAGTGTATTTATGTAAGTGCGTTTGTACGTGTATGTTTGGGGGTCTGAAATGGACTAATCTACTTCACAATATTCCTTATGGGAATAAATTCGGTCAGTACTGGCACCTGAACATACTTATGGAGTGAAAAAATATCGTTAACCGGGGTCCACTGTATTTGTATACTGTACTTTATACACAAGTAACCAGCTTGTTTGCTTGTTGTTCAGAAATAGAAATATGTACTGTTTTTTTTTAACAATAGTTTCTGCATATTAGTGTTATCCTTCTATTCAGTCTGTCTTTGTACTGTAATTGCACATAGTGGCTTTCATGGTTGTGGTAATTTAAAGGTGTTTTTCCATTAACTTTCCTTAACTTTGGTTAAGAACCGTCCCACCCTTGTCAGTCAATAAAAATATATTAGAAAAAAGTGTTTGAAACTCCATGTTAAATTAGTTGCATTATGCAAAGTGATTCTTATGATATATTTATCTGTCATAGTAACAAGAATGTTTGTGATGTACATTTTCTGTTTAGTGACAAATACTGTAATGACAGAAATAAATTTTTCCAGGTATTTGATTGGCAAGAGTCGGTTTCATAGTCCCTTACTGCTGATGTGTGGAGTTCGTCTTGCAAACCTTGATAAGGAAGACTATGAAATTATTGATATGAGAGCAGAAAAAATGTTATCATTCAGGAGTATCAGGTAATGTAAAGCCGTTTTAAAAGTTGAAAGATATTTTTCTGCAACTGGTATCCAGTTGGAATATGCTCTTGAGGGTGAAGGACAAGGTGCCAGAGCTAGCATTAGGGCTGGAGAGTAGGTATAATGAACACAGATGTATTACAGCACAAGAGAGATCCCTATATCACAATCACATACAGCATTGTAGAGAAAAACCATGGAACAAAGATAACACAGGAAATGTGCAGCTGAGGAAGGAGAGAGATCATGTCCTTCAACAGGGAAGTAGGCAGCAAAATAAGGAAATGTGTACATTGCCAGTTGGAAAGAAATCTTCCATCACAAATGCCAGTACTATATATACTATCTTGTGGATGGCTCTTCTGGCATAAGCTCATATCCAGTGTGCACGTCAGTGCATTAGCAGGGAATGTTAGACCACCAGATGAAGTTTCTACTTTTGCATCCTGGGAAGGTGGCACAAGAAGTTATATTTCAGGGCTGTTTCAGGTCACTGAGGCACCCAGGTAGATGCAAAGGAATGATAATTTATTTCAGCACAAAAGATCTTTGCTGTGAGGAAGAAAAGGAAGGAAAGCACCCTCAAGCTGGGGCAATGAAGGTGAGCCAGGGCCAGCAGGTGACCCTAGTATACATCTAAAATGTGTATGGCTTTGAGAGCCTTTCATATCTGAAAACTAAAGCAGATAAGGGCACCATAGCCCTGTGAGCTGTGAGGATACGTCCAAGACAACCCCTATCCAGAAGCAGAGGCATCGGCCAAGAGAGTGCAAAAGAGGAAAGGTTGTGGGTACCAAACCTCATAGGCTGGTAAAAGCCAGCCTGCATCCGCCACAGTAATAGTTGATGAGGGATCCAGTTTTCTAGAATGCTAGTAACTCTGTTCAGAGATTCACAAATGGTGACAGGCAGCGAGGCCATCACCAGATTTGTTGACGTAGAGAAATAGGCACATCATACATGTGAAGACCAGAAAACTGTAGTAAACTCTTTCATAATAAGACTACACTGCACATTATTGTGCAACACAGTTTAAGGAATATGACTAAAAATTTTTGGTATTACTAGCCATAAAGTGTTAAAGAACTCAACACACGAAATGTTGTACTACTCCCTAGCATTATGTTATGCATAAAATTTGGGTACTTCATACCATGATACACAACTTCTTCCCTCTCACTGACAACCCATTCCACCTACAGTTCATGCAGAGTTTTATGCCTCACTATTTTGGATATTTTCATCAGTAGTATATCTGATCTCTGGATATTAACCATGGCATCCAAATGGTATATTAGTAATATTGGAGATGCTAAGAAGACTAATAATGAGTCTGTTAATTTGTTGAGGAAAATAAAGTGTTACAAATGCTTTTAGGTGATGAACATGTCATGAAAATTGCCTGTGAATTTTGCACAAGTGAATCAGCCATTTTTTACATTTCAAAGTGAAAAAAAAGTAAGAGCTTCCTCAAAATTATGTCGAAGAGGTCTCTACAGCTAAATAAGAAAGAAAAGTTACTGAATGCATGAGCACAAGATCCTGTCATACTATAAACAATGTGTGAGGTAAAGAGTGTCTTCATAACAATGAATGTTCAGTGTTGAATAATTTGAAGGTTTTAAGAAATGTTGTGTTCATAACATCAGATGCTCTGGTGAGCTCTGTAAAGTGCTGCAGGGTAAAATATACCCAAGATGCATTAAAAAATGCAGCCATTAGTTACCAACATTCTTATTAATCACCACAATACAACCACAACTGTTCACTTCAGTCCAGTAGCATGACCAGACTGTAAGATAAGTCATACTGTAATCATTTTAATATACCTAGTACAGTAATAAAAAGAAATTATTCGGCAAATGTATGTGTTTGGAACGTTACTCCCCTTTTTTTTTCCTACTCTTCTTGCAATATTATTTTACTTTCTGTATGACCCTTGTGGGTCTAGCACTTAGTCTTGATTGTAATAGTAATAATAATTATTTTACATAATGCACTTATTTTTCAGGAATGTAACCCATGTGTTATGTAAGGGTTTACTGTACTATAAGACAACACTCTTGCTGACATAACAAACTCATCCACTGTGGGCAGTAAACCTCCCATTATCTGAGGTGAATAGTTGACACCAGATGCAGAAGTGTGTGGCTACCAAAACCTGCGGGGCTTGACATAAAATGAGGCGCAAGCTGGTTAAACATTTGGCAGACAGTAGAACTAGCTAACATACTGAAGCTACCGTGATTTATGCTCATCAGGAGGGTGCCAGCCAGCCGGAGAAGGTAGCCAGTTTACACTGCAGTACAAGATAGGGCAAAGCCCAGTACAGAAAGGTCCAGTTATAAAGACCTATTCCATGAGAAGCACCTGTGAGAAGCATCATTATCATCTAATCAGAATAGGAAGACAAGGAGCAGGAATGTAGGGGTTGCAGAGTACATCTGAGCACTCACTGTACCCAGATGGCAGACTTAAGTTGTTATTACTTACAGAAACTAAGAACATAAGAACATAAGAAAGAAGGAACATTGCAACAGGCCTACTGACCCATGTGGAGCAGGTCCATGTCCCCCCTCCCCCAGATTAGCCCAGTGACCCACCCAGTCTGGTCATCTCCACTCAAGGATGGAGCACTGCACCAGACCCAGCAGCACAAGCTAGTCAGGTCCAACTCATACCCACCCACACCCACTCATGTATTTATCTAACCTATTTTTAAAACTACAACGTTTTAGCCTCAATAACTGTACTTGGGAGTTTGTTCCACTCATCCACAACTCTGTTACCAAACCAGTGCTTTCCTATATCCTTCCTGAATCTGAATTTTTCCAACTTGAAACCATTGTGTGAGTCCTGTCTTGGCTGGAAATTTTCAGCACGCTATTTACATCCCCTTTATTTATTCCTGTTTTCCATTTATACACCTTGATCATATCCCCCCTAATTCTATGCCTTTCGAGAGAGTGCAGATTCAGGGCCCTCAGTCTATCCTCATAGGGAAGATTTCTGATACATGGGATCATCTTTGTCATCCTACCTAATGATGTACAGTCCAGGCAGTCATCATGGTCATTACAAGATCTGTATGCTAAACAAAGCAGATGGCTAATCCTTAGAGATAATCATGAAGAGAATTAGGGGCTGCCATGAATTTTCAAAGTAGCCAGAGAACCCTCAAAGGCCCAACTACACAACACCGGATGAAGAAATATCCAGGAAGTAAAGGTGAAAGTAGGATGTCTGCACCATGGAAGCAGTTTGACACCTGTACTGAGAGACATCACAAGCTACAACTGGTGCCTGTGCATCAACATAATAGGGTAATGATCAAAGAATAGAAATAAGCAGAGTTTAAGTGAGAACCTGGCTAAGTAAAAAATAAACATGGTGTATTTCAACTGGAACCCCAAGACATGTTGAACCTTCGACTGGCCAGCACTTTTTGTCCATTTTATAAGACATCTGGTAAATGAGGGTCTAGTGGATGTTTATTGTACTAGTACAAAGATCAGTGAAATAATTTTTTACTGAATACTGGTTTAATTTGGCCTTCTCCCACTGAGGTAGGGTGACCCAAAAAAGAAACGCTTTCACCATCATTCACACTATCACTGTCTTTCCAGAGGTGCACAGATACAACAGTTCAGATGTTCCTCCAAACAGCAGATAGGATATCCTAAATTCTTCCTTTAGAGTGCAGGTGCTGTACTTCCCATTTCCAGGACTCAGGTTCGGTTAACCAGTTTCCTGGAATCCCTTCACACAATATTACCTTGCTCACACTCCAACAGCTCATCAGGTACCAGAAACCACTTAGTCTCCACTCATTCCTATCTAATATGCTCACACATGCCTGCTATATGTACAAGCCCCTTGTACACAAAACCTCCTTTACCCGCTCCTTCCATCTTTTCCTAGGATGGAGGGAGAAGGTGCAGATATATATACCCTCCGAGTCATCCTATTTTGCTCCTTCCTCTCTAAATGACCAAACCACCTCAACAACCCCTCCTTAGCCCTCTGGATAATACATTTAGTAAACTCGTACCTCCTCCTAATCTCCAAACTACGAATTTTCTGCATAATATTTACACCACTTATTGCCCTCAGACATGACATCTTCACTGCCTCCAACTTCTTCCTCGCTGCAACATTCACAGCCCATGCTTCACACCCATATAAGTGTTGGTACTACTGTACACTCATATATTCCCTTCCTGGCCTCCATGGACATTTTAATTAAATATACATTACTTTTTCTCCATGGGGAAGTGGAACAGGATTCTTCCTCTAAGCCACGAGTGTCGTAAGAGGCGACTAAAATGCCAGGAGCAAGAGACTAGTAACCCCTTTCCCTGTATGCATTACTAAAGTTAAAAAGAAAAACTTTTGTTTTTCTTTTTAGGCCACCCTGTTTCAGTGGAATAGGATTGGTTTGATGAAAAAAAAAAATTACTTTTAATGTAAGTTGATTTCATATTTGTGAGACCAAAGATATATACAGACTTTATACAATTTAATTTGTATTCAGTTAGTATTATCTTGTTAAAGGCTATATTTTTTAATGTAACGGTAATACAATATTTTAAAAAGTGTTAATGTGTTATATATAATGTTTTTCTTCACAGAAACTTGCAAGAGCTTGCTCAGTGGATGATTGAGAGAGTTGGGTCTTCCTTAATGAATTCCTTAGAAGTAGCAGCTTTCTTCCTTCAGTTTCTGGATTGGTTTTATTCCAGCAGTAACACCCCAAGATCCCTCACAAATCAGCCCATCCCACCACCACCTAAGGTTGATTACTAGTTTAACATACATATTATGGAGCATGTAGCAGGTATTGAGTGTGTTGTCATTAATGTTTAAAGTAAAATTGCTGGATGATTATATAGTTTTCAAGATGTGTTACCATCGTCCTAATCTCTGACTTTTTCCTAATGCTTGTAATGACCCCGCTGTGCAGCGACAGACTAATGGGGGAAAGGGTATTGTCCAAGGGTTCGCCAAATAAGAATAACAAAAAAAAAAAGGGCATGCCAGTACTCTTCTACATACCTAATATAGTGCTTTATACACAGTTATGATATACTGTAATAAACATCGAAAAGAGGACAGGTCATCTTGGAAGGCAGTTAATAAACACACAGTATTTATCCAGTGGATTTTGCCCAATGCTATATTTGAATAAGTCTGTTGTATCAATGTCATTTATATCAAGGGTTTACTGCACCTTAATTCATAAGAACTAGTTTTAGCTTGCATGGAATACTTTGCATAACAAGGATCTGTCTTTGGAGGCTACAAGCAGTGTAATACCAGAGCGGAGTCAGCACCCTGTAATTCTCAGAAATGAAATTTGACTTTGACATACAGTACAGTACCTGTACATGTTCTTAAAATTATGAATAATATGTCAGATTCCTTTAGTGGTAGATGCAGTATGAATAAGAAGAATTATGTCACTGAGTAAGGATGGTATGAGCAACTGCTGAAAGAAAGGTGTGCTAGTGAAGGTATGATGTATTGGAAAGTGAGTGTATCCAGAAATAGGGATGAAGTGGTAAAAAAAAAAAAGTGGCAAGGAAGAGTTAGTATATTTAATGTTTTAAGAAAATAAAAATTATACACGAGGTGGAATACATGGAGAGAGAAAAATACCTAATGAGTGATGAGAACAGAAAAAAAGCAAGCAAAAATGACAAAATGAGTTAGTCTTTATCAGCAAATTTTGCTGATATGTAGACAGATTAATTAATGGAGAAAGCCTGGGGAGCAAATAGAATTGGCTGTTAAGAATGAAAAGGTGAAATGTTAGATTGGAAAGATGAAGAGATTATTTTCAGAGGGTTTTTAAATGATGATGAAAGGGAAGCAGTAATTTCATGCGTGGAGCAGATAGGCATAGGATCTGATAGAAAAGTGAGAAAGTTGATGAAACAGTGGGAAGGATAAAAAGAGGTAAAGCAGCAGGGATAGATGAGATACTGAAAGCAGGTGGGGTTCTAGTTTTGAAATGGTTGGCATATGTGCTTAAATTTATGTACTGTATGAAAGCATGCATAGTTTCTTTGTATAGAGGGAAAGAGAGTGAGTAAAAATGCTAGGAAGTGTGTTGAGTATACTGGGTAAAGTATACAGTATAGTTACCATATTTTACGGTGTCGAAGACGCTATTTTTTCCACAAAATAAGTGGGCAAGGGGCTTGGACTTCCAGCAAGCATGCATGAGCATGTTTGATAGGAGTGAATGGAGATGAATGGTTTTTGGGGCCTGACAAGCTGTTGAAATGTGAGCAGGGTAATATTGTGTGAAGAAATTCAGGGAAACCAGTTAGCTGGACTTGAATCTTGGAAATGGTAAGTACATACATACATACATACAATGCCTGTACTTTAAAGGAGGGGTTTGGGATATTGACAGTTTGGAGGGATGTCTGAGCTGTCGTATCTGAGCGCCTCTGCAAAGACAGTGATTATGTATGAGTGATGGTGAAAGTATTGAATGGGGATGAAAGTTTTTTCTTTTTGGGTCACCCTTCCTCTTTGGGAAATGGTGACATGTTAGAAAATTTACCCAGCATCTTGGAGGCCAAAGGACCGTTTATCTTTTCTTTCCAAAATTTAGTCAATCAGAATTCAAGGGGTGTCGTTGCCACCGGAGCGTCTTGTTCGCCATAAAATAAGGTAGTCCCAGAATGGATATTATTAAGAAGAAGTAAGAGTGCAGAAGAATAAGGAAGATAAACAGTAAGTTAATAATACTTAAATAGAGGTAAGGAGCTGTATTTTGCATTTATGGATTTAGAAAAGGCATACGAGAGGGTGGAAAGGAAAGGAGTGTGGCAATGCTACTAGTGTACGGAATAGATAGTAGATTATTAAAGGCTGTAGAGTTTTGAATGAGGATGTGTATGGGACTGTTTTCTAAGAAAATGTAGGCCTTAGGGATGTGTGAATTTTCTGTGACTGGGTTTTTAGATGGGAATGTAAGATGTAAGCTAGTGTTGCAAGATTCCTAGTGGTTGCGAAGGTTGGTGCAAATGAAGGTAGTTAAAAATGAACATTGAAATGTGCAAGTTGATGCACATAAGAAAGCCGATACAATAAAAGATTAGATGTTAGATTGCAGGGACACAGTATAAAGTAATTAAATGTATTTAGGAGGATGTATTTTGGAGGATGGATGTATGAAAGATGACGTGAATCATAAGATAAACAAAGGGGAGAAAGTAGGTGGAGTGTTGAAGCACTCTGTGGAAAGCAATTTAACATTAAAGTCAAAAAGGAAAATTACCTGAGTACAGTATAGCGAGTACATAACACAAATTTGCTATATCAACTGCAACACCTCTTCCATTTTTCATGTCCGTGTGACCATTTTGGGTTTAGCACTTTCTATGAATATAACAGAGTAGAGATTTTGCCACCGAAGTGGCTAGTTTATTGTGCACCCCATATCCATCCTTGGACGGCAAAGCACAAGAGCACATGGAAACACAAAGGCCTAGGAAACTAGGTCCCAAAGGGTTAACAGAATACAATTATGGATTTATAACTACATATACTAAGTTCAATTATCTGTTACCAAAAAGCAAATTAAACGAAATTGCTTAGTATATCGGTATCTTATTTTCATTAACCCTTTCAGGTTCCAAGCCAAAATCTGAAGTCTACGCACACACATGTCCAAGAAATTTTTGAAAAAAAAAAAAATATATTTTTTCTTACAGAATTAAAGAGCATTTTTTTGTGAAGGTAATGAAAACAAAAAAAAAATAGAATCTGATCAGTACTTAACCGAGATACAGTGCCAAGAAGTTTGTAGAAAATGATGTGGTTGGCGGCAACATCGAAACCCGAATTCCATCATACTCGTAGAGTCTAGTTATTTTGTTGTTTTTAGTTGTTTTTTCTTTTTCTTTTCCAATTTTGTTTCGATATTTCCTACTAACATTTGGGCCTGAGAGACCAATACAGTATAATAATGTAATATATATAAACTATCACTGTATTGAACACAATAACCGCACTAAAGTTATTATCATATTATTGTTTACCATCTGTTGGTTTTTTACAATAAAACATGCACAAATAATTGTATATACTATGTTCTATCATATATTTACATATTTACAATCACTGGACATGGTTTTAGAACTGCTTGGAGCTTGTGGGACTCCTTTGAAACAAGGCACTCATGCACATAGGCACCTTACGTTCCCTCAACATAAACCGAGTGTCTTTGCCGTCTTTGTTGCCGTTCTTGGTTTGTGCACAAGACAATGCATCTCTTCTGAGCAAATTTCATTTGAGTTGAAGGAAGCTGTATTATGAAATGATCACCTCCTCTTCTCAACGCTTGGAGGTATATAGTGATAATTCGAGGACCATGTTTGTATTGGCAGGTGTTGTTACCTGGTACATCATTTGAGTTGTCTGACCAAACAGACAGAACAAAATTCCCACCATAACGTGGTTCCCCCTGTTACCAGTCTTTATTTGGTACATATTATATGCATTCGAGCATTGAAATGCCATGAATGGAAGAAAAGTTTCCATGAACCACTTGTAACTCTTACGAACACAGTCAACAAAACCAATCTGCATGTCACAACACTTGTCAACCAAGGCACAATGTTTTGTGTATAATCAATCACTGTCACTGGTTTTCGAAAACTTTCATTATCCACTCGATCAACTTTGCCACTGTCTTGCATTTCATTACGGTGAATGGTTGTCAACAATGTGGACATCTCGTTTGTCATGTGCCACCGTAATGCCATGATGGTCATTGGCAGTAAACTCCTGCACGCATCAACCCAACGAACACACTGCGTTGAGCCTGGGGCATATGTTTTACGATTAAACGCACTGTTGCCAACCACATTCTGTCCTTGTTCACAGTCGCATGAAATCACTGAGTAATGGGCTTGTGTACCAGTTATCGGTATATAAATGTATGGCCCTTACAAGATAAGGTGCCATCATGTTTCTCCAACTTACGTCACCTGATATACCCAATAACATCTTGGTATCTTTCAATGTTTTACTACCCTGTATTACAACAATATCCAACAACCAGGCCACTGTCACAATTCACTAGAGTACAAACAATTTTATACCAAAGTAGCGGTTTCCTCTTGCTCGGTATAGTACTGTCTTGAATAGACAGTCTAGAGCCTTTAAACAAATCCAAAGACTCGCAATTTACAAGATTCTTGAATGGATAAAAGTATATCCTGAACTTTTGCTTGAGAATACATGAAAAATTTCTAATCTTGTATAACCTGGTCCACTTCTGTCAGGGAGCTGGTTTTTGTCAGAGAAGTGCAAACATTACGTATCAGTAAGATATACCCTGTTCACGGTGGTATTATTTCATCACTGAAGGATGGGAGTACAAATTAGCCGATCTGTGGGACCAGTAATGTCTTTTATATGTTGCCTTATGAGACGTGAGCATAAGCAATATTGTTTGCTAAAAGCAAATTACATGTTCTGCAACAGTCGTCTCTTTCCACCTGTGTAGTCTGCCTGGGTGATAAGATCGTATTTGCCATGGTGTACTGAAAATACTATACTTTCCCTGACAATAAATTTCCATCAAATGGCTGTCAAAGAATAATATCAAAGAATTCCAGTTCATTGGCCGTGTTCCAAGGGACAGGTAGGTAGAATTCCACTTTGGTCGAGTCATCAAAGTGGTGAGGCTGGGAACAAAATTGGGGATTTTGCTCTGCCAATCCCAAATACGGTTTTGCTGAGGATACTGAGACATCATAGGCTGGTTGTAC